TGTTTTTCGACTTGCGTGGATAACGGCGAGTCGTTGGTTTGGGATTGCGGCCTTCACTCTCAACAATTCCACACTGGAGGCGGACGGGAGCTTAGTTTTTGGATTGGTCCGTGGCGCCAAAGACGGCGAGGGCGGACCCCCACCGCGCCTTGCGGTTCGTCAGGATGCGAGGGCAGGACGCGTTCGACACTATATATGCAGGACACTTCAGGAAAACGAAAAGCTCACGAATATTACGACTGCCCACATGGAGCGAGCTCTGGCTCCTTGGGGTGCCACGGCGCGTTCCATAGAACGGGGTGCGTTGAGGCACGCTGCTCAAACCGTGGAGAAACACAATTTGGACCCACCCGTGATCTCGCTGTTGGCGAGGCACGTCGACCCGTTCGACCTTCCCCAGAACACAGTTCGATATTCCGGGAACCAGATCACAATGCTGACCCAGGTGCTGTCGCTGGTCGCATTGATGTGAAGGGAGAAGCTGCGGAAGGGCAGGAGCCCTGGCTGAAAGCAGAGGAGCGCTTTTTCTCTGATTTTCATCCTCACTCCGCTAAAATAACGAGACGCGCGCCGAGGACGCGTCGGGCGGTCCCCTTTTCCTCCGTCCTCTTTTACATCGGGTGGAAGCTCACGGAGGACTCCAGTCTATGACGCGCGATTGTTGAAGGAAGCGGGAATAATCGAGGACGCTTCGTCTGCAAAAACGGTCGGATGGATAATACCCTTTCTCGGTTGTGGTGGAGAAAACCACCGGTTTGCGACGACGATGGATCGCGTGGCCACGCGACAAGAACATAGACGACCCTTAAGGGGCTAATGCTCCTCTTTTGCACAATTTCCATTATTTGCCACCTGTGATGGCTGAGGTCGCTTCCTGCCTGGACTTAAAGGCATTCTCTTCCCGAGTTTCTTTACCGCGGGAGACTCGGCATCTCTTTCGATGCCGCGTGGAGGACGGCACGCTGGTGGAGCTGACACGGCTCCCTATGGGATACAAGGCCGGCCCGGAAATTCTCCAGATTGTTATTACCTCGGCAATTGCGGTGGTGACGACGGTGGCTCACTTCCTATGGGCTGCACCTCCATTGGTGCGTGTCGGCGTATGGATCAGTAATATACGCATTGCAGAGTCGAAAAGCGATGTGACATTGTGGGAATCCCAAGTGCTTCGTAATGCGGACGGCCGTCGCGCCACGATGAGGGAGGACCACGAATATGGCGCCGTGTAGTACATCTTCCTGGGGGTGCGGTTTGATCACACGCACCGTGCGGTGTCCCTGAGTGACAAGTCTGTCCGCTCTGTATGCGCCGTGCCGTCGCTCAATTCTTTAACCATCGCGGAAATGGAGGTTGTGGCGTCACGCTTTTTATATTTGGCGGCCATTTTAGGCATGCGTTTATGTGACCACCACTCTTTCATCAGGGCAGTGCGACGCCGATTATCCGCACATAACCGGGGAATTGTGCAGGAGAAATCCCCGGCGAACCTTCGGCCGGCAGCGGTTGGTTTGGGCGAGAGGTTACGACACACCATCGAGAATAATCGTCAGCGAATCATCAATCCGACGGAGAAGGCATCGGCCGCCAGCATCGCGGATGCATCGCTCCATGGAAGTGGGGCTTTTTTCACTCCAGACTTTATCGACGCTAAAATTGCCGGAGGGGAGTGGAGGAGGAAGTCTTTTCTTATCATGCAGGCCGAGGTGCGTGCGGTACGCTTGGCCTTATCGGCCTTTCCCGCCATTTTGCCATCCACCATGGACGTTTGGGTGGACAACACTTCGCTGCAAGGAGCGGCGAATAAAGGCAGCCCGGAAACACACGCCATGACGTGGGAGCTGCAACGGATATATGGGTTTTTGGACTCTCGCGGAATACAGGCATTCTTTGCTTACGTGCGGTGTGCAGAAAACCCCGCAGACGGCATGTCACGCGGTCGTGTGCTTTACACTTCAGGATTTGGCGAAGGGGTGGAACTTGCGAAGCGGAGCGGCGGGATCTTGTGTTCGGGTGACCCCAAAGCCTGCCACTTCGTAGGTAATAAATAAATACAATCATATGTATCCCATCCGAATACAGTGAACGGCCCACGATTGCGTCTAGTGGATGACAGATTTTTATAAATATGGACTTCTCAGGTGTTACTCTTTGCGGATATGGTGAATTTCCATTTTTATTCCATACATCCCTTTCTTATTTCTATTTGGTTTGTTTTTCTATGATTGAGGAACTGAGGAACCGACCAGTGGCCCAGAAGATTATTCAATGTTGTTGTTGTTTTTTATTTTTTCTTTTTTTACACTTAGAAAAAAAAAAAAAATTAAGTGCCAGGTTTTAAGCAAAAATGATGCGGAAGACGCCGATTGTTGCTGTGGCCGCCACACGCAAGGCGTTGGTAGGCAACGGCCCCACTTTCTCAACAGGCGGTGAGTGCATGAACACATGTGACATCCAGAACGCCTTCCCCATGAACGAGCGTGGTGTCCGCTCCTCATCCCCGTTCCAGGAGCCCAACACCGCTATCTATGATACCTACATGTCATGGACGTACTTTCAACCGATAGACGTGAATATCGAAAAGCTTCCGGCCCCTGAGGCGAAGTACTACCAGCGGCACACAAAAAGGCCATGGGATATTTCCACGACCGAATTGATCGAGATTCAATCGCGCAAGAAGTACTTTCAGGTGTGGGGTTATCTGATTGCCTTTATCTACCTGTACTTCCTGATGCCTAAAGAGAAGTCGTTCAGTGGCCTGCATGGACCTGATGGCCACTGGATCATGTTGCCAAAGTCTAGACCAGAGTTGTTTTAGGCGCCGTATTCTTGGAGTCGTATTAGCACGTAGTAGTAGGGAGTTGGTGCACGAAACCCACATATTTTTACAAAACTGGTTCAGATATGTATTTAATTTACAAGGAAAAGGAGAAGACGAAAAAAAAAAAAAAAAAGGGGGGGGGGGGGGGGGGGAAGAAGTTGCATGCAGACTACCGAACTTATTTGACACCACGGTGAAGTGTGGGTTCGTTTGGCACCGAGCGGCATCAACCGTCTGTGCGGAAGAAGAAGAGGATGAAACGAAAGCAGTGAGAGTGAAGGGTGTGAGATGAGCTAATGAATGAATGAATGAGATGTCAAGCGTCTTTTGGTTTTGCTCTGTTTGAATGGCCTGGCAAATTGAACCTGTCGACAAGACGATTAATTCATTTATGTATCTTTTTTTCCTTTTTTTTTTTTTTTTTTTTTTTTTTTTTGGTGTGTGTGTGTGCATTTTTACTGGCATCATGCCGTTTGGAGGGGGGACGGGAGCTGTGGCGTCAAACAGACACAATAAGAAAAAGAGAGAGAGAAAGGCCGTGCGTGTGCGTGAGGGAAGGAGGAGGGGGGAAGCAAAAACGGGAGTCTGCAGAAGAAGGACGAAAAGGAAGAGTAAGGGTACATAAAGTGCGGTCGTGTAAACACAGAAGAAGAAAGAGAAGGAAACACGCCTCTCATTATACACATACATACATAAATAATTACATACACGTCAGGTGGGAGAGGAGTGAAAGGCTTTCTCTTTTAGTTTAGAAACTATTATTCGTATTTTTGTGCAGGCACCGGTTCACAATTTCATGAGTCTCGAGACCACCGCCTACCTGCAACGTCTTAGCGAGAAGCCGGAGCGAACCCGTAATTTCTGCATGGTGGCTCATGTGGATCACGGCAAGACCACACTTAGCGACTACCTCGTTGCGAGCAACGGCATTCTCTCTCCGCAACTTGCGGGCGAGGTTCGGCTGCTGGACTCCCGCCCAGACGAACAGGAGCGATGTATCACAATGAAGGCTAGTTCCATTGCGCTGCGGCACGTCCACAAAGGGGTAGAGCACCTTTTAAATCTTGTGGATTCGCCTGGACACATTGATTTCTCATGTGAAGTGTCTACAGCAATGCGGTTGTGTGATGGTGCAGTCATCATTGTCGATGTGGTAGACGGCGTAACGCAGCAGACAAGCAGCATGCTGCGTCACGCGTATCGTGAGGGTCTATCTATGTGTCTTGTACTTAACAAGGTAGACCTTTTGGTTATGGTGCAGCAAATTACCCCAGAGGAGGCATATTACCGAATGCGTTCCATTGTGGAATCATGCAACGCTGCACTTGCTGCTTTTGCCAATCAACTCAAGATTCAGGAGGGTGAGGAATCTTTCATGCATCAAGATCGTGGTGATCCTAGTGATGATGTATGGTTCTGCCCGACGAAAGGCAACGTACTCTTTTGTAGTTGCTACGATGGATGGGCCTTCACGACCAATTTTTTTGCTTCTCTCTACGAGAGCAAATTGGATATTGCCAATTTGCATGCATCTCTTTGGGGAGAGTATTATCTTGATGCCAAAACAAAGGCCATCGATATAACTCCACGGCGAGCTGGACAGCAACCGCTAGCAGTGCAGTTAATGCTGGAACCCATTTGGCAATTATACCGAACGTTTCTTGGAGAGAAAGATAATGTGGAGGTGCAGTTGCGTATGGCCGCTAAACTGGGTGTTCCAGAGCGCTTGTGGAATAACCCTCGACGCGACCAGCGAGGAAAATTAAAGGCGTTGCTGTCTTCATGGCTTCCGCTTGCAAATTGTGTTCTAAGCGTCATTTGCGACAAGTTGGATTCTCCTGTTGTAGCGCAACGCCGTCGACTGCCCCTCCTTATTCCGCGATTTGATGAGGCCTCTAGTCAAGTAAAGGATGCGTTGATCAATTGCTCAAACAGTCCTGATGCCCCATGCATTCTTTATGTCTGTCGGCTTATCGATACGCAGTTTCTTGTGGGTACAACGATTGGACAAGAGAAAGATAGGGACGATGCATTTATTGGATTTGCCCGAGTCTATAGTGGTCGCCTTATTCCAGGTCAAAGGGTGCATGTTCACAGCGATGAAAAGGTTGTTGAGGTAAATGTGGGGAAAGTTTTTCTTTTCCGCGGCACAGGTTTGGATGAGGCGACCGAAGCCTGTAGCGGGACACTTTGCGGCGTTGGTGGACTCACGTCATACATCACAAAGTACGCCACATTGTCAACGATGGAGGGGGTGCCGCCGTTTAAACCCCTCGTCTTGCAGAGCACATCCATCTTGCGTGCCTCTGTCTATCCAAAGGATCCGAAAGACCACCTCCAATTGGTGAAAGGGTTACAGTTGTTGTTCCGGGTTGACCCGCAGGTGGAGGTGAGCATTCTCCCCACGGGTGAACATGTGATTGGCACAGCTGGGGAAGTACACTTGGAGCGATGTTTAAAAGATCTTGTGGATACTTTTGCTCGGGTGGAGGTTTTGGCGTCTGAACCGATTGTGTCTTTTCGAGAGACTCTTGCTGCTGGAGGTGCGAGTATGAAGCCCAAGTTGCATACGGGCACGACTGCTGATGGTGCCTTCTCCATCACTCTACACGCCCGTTGTATGCCTCCAGATGTGTTCGATATAATTAAAGATGACTGCATGAACCATGGCTCCAGCATGCAGGTGCAGCGACAGGTGGAAACTGCGCTAATGGCAAACAAGCGATGGGCAGCGGAAATGCAAAAGGGGATTGTTGCATCTGGTCCAACAAAGCTTAGGTTTCTCGGAGCACTCTTGTTGCTGCAGTTTGGTGACGACGAAACATCTTTGGAAAAGTTGCGACTATTTGAGGACTGGAAGGACTCCATCATAGCGGGATTTCAGGCAGCAGCTGAGAGTGGTCCCATGGCACAGGAGCCTTTGTTGAACATTGCGTTTATCATTACGGATATTTCAGTTGACACCTCCTCCGGCCTGACAGGTGGAATGGTGTTGCCATGCGTCCGGGACGCCTGCCGTGCGGCGATGGAGCTTCACCCACGGCGACTCGTGGAGCCCGTATATGAGTGCACTGTATACTCGTTTGGTGCGACACAGGGGAAGATTTATGGGTCTCTCAGCCGTCGTCGCGCGGAGATTATTGAAGAAGTGCCTAATGAAGGCAGTGATCTCTTCTACATCCGCTGCCTGCTGCCTGCTGTGGAGGCGTTTGGGCTGCAGGATGAGCTACGTGTCATAACGCAAGGGGCATCGACGGCACAACTCCAAATGAGTCTGTGGAGCATTGTGGATGCGGACCCGTATTTTACACCGACAACAAAAGAAGAAATTGAGGAATATGGCAACGAGGTGGTGATGAAAAACATTGCGGGGCAGTTACTCGAGCGTGTTCGCCGCCGCAAGGGACTCCACCGCGAACGGGTTGTTGAAAATGCCGAGAAGCAGAAGTTTTCTCTCAAGGGAGCTTGAAGACATAAGGAGAACGAAAATTAAAAGGAGATGTAACAAAATGGTCAGAGGTGGTGCTAGTTATGTATTTCCCTTTTGGTGCTAAAAAGAAGAAATAAAAAATAAGCGTTTAAAAAACAATTGGAGACGCAAAGAAGTAAACAGATCTGTGTTCATATCCATATTTTTTTTTTTCCTTTCCTTGTTGTCCTTTTTGTTATTTTTTGTTTTGTTTGTTTGTTTCGCGTTGCACTGATGGTAAAAGTTATGGGATATGTTTCTTGTGCGTTTGTTATTATTATTATTATTATTATTATTATTATTATTATTATTACACTGAAGGAAACGTGGCAATGGCAACAACAGGGCGATTTTACGTTGGGCCGGCGGTATCGTTTAAGGAAAAAAGTCGGCAGCTGGTTAAGTGCGATAAGAGGAATATCGCCGTGTATCGCTACAAGGATCGGTTTTACGCGCTAGACAACGCCTGCTATCATCATGGCGGGCCGCTGCTAGAAGGCGATATTGAGGAAATGGGGAGTCATCCGTGCGTTGTGTGCCCGTGGCATGAGTACCGCATCACTCTTGACACCGGTGAGGGTCTTTACTGGGCCCTGCAGATGACGCCGGAGGGAGTTCCGGACAAGAAGGCACCACAGAAGGTATGCTCCAAGGGAATGAAACAACGCACCCACATCGTCACCGTAGAGGACGGTGAGGTGTTTGTGACGTTAAATAATTCCGGGCCGCGTCTTGCAAGTGATAATTACGCGGAAATGGTCATTGCTAACATGCAGGGAGCGATGATTTCTCCTTTGGAGGATAGTAGAAGAACCCACCGTAGTATGAATGGTCTTGGTGCAGGGATTCATAGTGGCGTTCGTAGCGGGCATGTGTTTGCTGGGATGGTAACGGGGAATAGACTGCAACGATTCAGTTATTTGAATCACCCGATTCTGACGTGTGTAGCAGTCGAGCCTGTGTGTGACGATACACAAGAGTACTACTTTCGGCTATCTGAGGGAGAGCTTGACACCTCCTCATTGGTACCAGGGCAGTTTGTTGACTTGAAGCTGCCCATTGCGGCCCCTCCCGGGAGGCATTTTGTGCGACGGTGGACCATGGTTGAACTGAATAAGGAGGGATGTGATTTTACTCTCATCATCAAGACTGCAGAACACTCCAACGGTGGAACGGCGTGGATGTCAAACAACGCGTTACGTCAGCGATTTTCATTACTTCACTATGGTGGGAGCTTCACCTTGACGCATCACATGAGCCGTCTGCGTGAGGTGGGGGGACGTGTTGTGATGCTTTCTGCTGGGATCGCTATGACGGCGCCTTACTCCTCGCTTCGTCAAGAATTTGAGGGCAAACGCATGCAGGGGATACCAAAACTTCGTATCATTCACCTCCATGTTGAAAGACGGGTCTCCTGCGTTGCAAAATTAGAGGATTTTGTACGGTGGCACCATTCCAAAACAGAGCACCTCGAATACCAGTTCCATTGCTACCTCACGAAGCAGCAGGAGCTCTCAGCGAATGCAGCCGGAGATGAGTCATTGTGGTCGCTCTTTACATGCGGTCGGCGACCCGCTGAGAAGGACATTCAGAGTTTTGTGGGGGATTTCTTGGGTCCGTCATCTTCTGTTCTCGCTATGGTTTGCGGCCCTCCTCCGTTTGTCCGCATGGCTAAAGAGGTTTTGTTGGCCTGTGGTGTACTGCCCTCGGATGTGTTGACGGATGAAGATGATGATTACAACTCCCTGTAGGGAAGGAAAATAAAGGTAAAAAACTTTTTGAATAGTTGGGAGCCATAAGTTGTGATTTTTATCAGCATCGTCACTCTCTTCTTTCCATTGAACCTCAGTTGTCGTTTCTTTCTTTCTTTGTGTGTGTGTGTGTGTGTTGTAATTACGTATTTTGCCCTTTAACATCCGTGTGGGATGAATACCCGCATGAGTGATCACACTGAGCACTTGTGAAATGGAGCGGTTTAGTCTTGCATGCTTTTTTTCCCTTTCATGTGGTTATGGTGTTCGGCTAACAAAAATTTGTTTCTTTACGGGTGGCCGTTGTCTTTTTTTTTTTTTTTTAATGGTGAGCAGTCCACGCACTCACTGTCCCCTTTTGATTTCTGTGACCGTAGGAACGGAACAGAGCAGGTCCAAACGGAGTTGCTTTTTTCCTTTTTTTTTTTTTTTCTTCTTGTTGTCGTTGTTATCTTTATTGTTGAGTAGAAAAAAAGAAAAATTTTTTTCGTTTCAAAATGTGCAGTGACAGTTTTTTTTTTTTTTTTACAATTTTTATTATTTTGGTGGTTGTAGAGGAGGAGGAAGAGGCGGTGATTATTCTCGCACATGCCCACTACCACTTTTTTCCCCCTTCTCTTTTCAAATGTATACATTTATTTCCGATATCCGCCTTTTTATGCCTTCCCCTACCGCTGTGATGAAACTTTTGTTGTTTTTGTTTTTGTCTTATTCCTTTTTTGGTTTGACGGGGGAGGGGGTTTTTGTGTTGTAGGGTATTCTACTCATCTTATTATTATTATTAGTTTGGTGGGTTAGTAATGGGGATATGGCAGAGTATACCTGTTCCCCCAGAGGTGGTGCAGGCGGCTGCAAACAATACGAGTAATTGGGGCGTACCGCCTGAAGACATTCCAGAAGATGAGAAAGACGTTGAGGAACTTGTGCTGCAGACATGGGCCTTTTGTAAAGCAAGGCCCTCTCCCGCTCAGAACTATCGTAGTGATGTGGAGGAGCGTCAGCGACGTCGTTTTGTTTCTTGGAGAAAACGCGCCAGTTTCATTGAGTTGGACTGCGGGGAAGACAGCTTTTTTGTTTCCAACACATACAAAGTCATTGGTGTGGCGGATGGTGTTGGTGGCTGGCGTGACGAAGGG